AAAAATATTAAAACCTTATTATAAAGAGCTTGCAAGTCAAAAAATGTCATACAGTGAAATTAACTAGACACAAAGTCTGTACATGTTTGTGAACTTCTATTAGAATAGTCATTCTGAAGCTGTGGAGATTGACATTAGATTTTTCACTTGCACTATCAAAAGTAATTTGATACACTTTTCCATCACCCAAAAATGTATATAACAAAATTACAACTAGAAAAACAATTAGTGCTATGCCCTCTTTCATAACTAAGAGTCCATTGCCTGCATTCAGTTTTTAAGCTCTTCAAACCTAAAATGTTTATCTGAGTAGATACTACTTTACAGAGCAGGAAATTAAGGAACAGAGAAACCAAATTACTTGCTTCACAACATTTAGTTAACAACTTTTAGGACAGATATTTGAACTCAGGCTGTGCTACAATAATGTCACTCTGCACAGAGCTTTCAAACTTGCTTTGGGAGCCATATATTCATATAGGGAGCACATCACTGAGATATGGCACTGTGTGAACAGATGAATTAACAGAGAAATCAAAGAAGATTATAACAATTGGGGAAGAAAATGTTAAATCCTGAGCAGGAGGTCTGGAGGTATGACTCAACCAGGGAGGCTCAATGCACTTTGTCAATAGCTCCAGTTACTATCGGTCATACATATCTGGATGACATTAGAGGATTACATAGAATGGAACATGTACTATTTTACCTCCTAGGGTTTTAAGTAAAATCGGTCTAGTTTTTCAAACAGCCCACCGCCTATTAAATAGTTTGACTTCATCACATGAAAACCTAGACAGGTTGCTGTTGGGAAGTGGTGGCACACACCTTTAATCCCAGCACTCTGGAGGTAGAAGCAGGAGGATCTCTGTGAGTTAGAGTCCAGCCTGGTCTAAAGAGTTAGTTCCAGGATAGCATTCAAAAATACACAGAGAAACCCTGTCTGGAAAAACAAAAATAAGAAAGCCTAGACAGGTGAAAGCAGACTGTGGTTAACTTTGTGATAGAGGTGGTGATTCTCCTTCTTGTTATTGACACATTGCTTCACTTCTATCAAGCCTTTGCGACTTCAATGTGGAGTGTCTCCAAGGGGCACTAAAGAAATGTGAAATGCGCACCAGATTCCAACCTCAGAAAAATTATGCTGGCGTGTAAGCTTACAGAGCATGGAGGATAAATAGACATACCTCCATGCAATTTACACATAGTGGGACTAAATGAATACTTGTTCGCGGCTTTCAAAGGCCCTGACATCTCAAGGTTTTCTGTAGGACACCTTGAAATCAAATGCTTGTGTAGGCTAAGGACAAGGCTGGGAGAGTGATGAGGAACTACTTTAGAACAGATGTCAACAGAGTGTTTCTCTCCGTGCTGAGAATCATCAAATATGTGGCTGATATCTGGCAGACATAGTGACTGAGGCACAGGCTCCAGAGCATCGAGACAATGAGCTGGCCTCCTGAGAAACTCTCCTGGATGCAGACAAATGAGTTTTGATGAGCGAGTGGCCTTTGCTCATTCTTCAGGGGTGGGGAGTGGGAACTCAGTCCAGTTTGGAGTTTAATTAAGGATGGCAGCTGGCATAGCAGGTCAGATGACTCTGTGCTCATTCATGTCACAAGTTGCATTTTGTTTTTCTCCAGATATTTCTGTTACTCTGTTCTCTCCCCCGACACTGCCCACACATTATTCTGTGTGCTATTAAAGTGATATGATCACTCTCCCAAATATAAAGTATTGCAGGCAGGGACCACATGCTAGAGATACAGAAACAAAACCATAAGGATCTGTATGGCTCTCCCATTTGAGACGCATCCTCTTGATGCAAACCATCCCCTATTTAAATGCACCTACTCATGGCACTCATGAAAGTAAGATTTCCTTGATAATTTTAATACCTGGAGAGAAAGGACAGATACAACTGTAGCATGCCAATTGTCCATGTCTTCAATCCTCCCTCTTAATGAATGATGGCAGAGACAGGAGCTCCTACCTCCTCTCCAAGCAAACCATACTGAGAGAAAAGTTTGTAGATCAAGCAATCTCCTGTAAAAAAAAAAAACAGGTCTCAGATACTTGGGATTTGGAGGGAATTGATTAAATAGATTGGTTATTAAAGACATCCATAATGAGACTATTTAAATGACTAGTCCAAAAGCCCACTTTCAAATATGAACTTAAACTGCAGATATTTCTGAATGGAAAATCTCTAAATCACATGGTCTAAGGAAGTCAAGGAGGAAGAAAGACTGAATGATTCTATATTTTAATCTGGTAGATACAGCTCTATACAATTTCCTAAGATGGCATATTTTGAAATAGTGTGTTCAGTGGTATACACTTACAGCATAAAGTCTCCAGGGAAATACTTGATCATATAATTAATTGCATACTACTTACAATAGTGCTACACATGCTCTGCTAGATATGAGACTCAGCTGCCTGCTGTCTTGAATCCCATGAAAATGAATTAATCACCTGCCTTAGTAATAAACTTTGAAAACAAAGCAAAGGAAAAAACACTGTGAAATAAAGATACTGTGATATTCTTTGTAGGTAGTACCCTTTCTCCTTGGTTAAACTGTTGTGATGAGAACTGGAGAAATTCCTGTTCTACTAGAATTCAAGGACAACTAGGCTTTTAGAGTTCCTGATTAGGCACACCTATGGAGAAAGCTGAACCAAAAAAAAAGTCCTTCAAATCCTTTGTAGAAAAGTACTTCAAAATAGAAGTAGCCATAGCTACTTAGTACATAGCCTTTGGGATAGGATGGCCCATTTCTAGATTAATATTTTAATGATGGGGGTCTTAAAGCTTTATTGAAAACATTCCCAGCAGGTCCAACATATAGGACATCATCTTACAGTTGGGACAGCAAGTTCTTATTTTTTCAGGACATTGAGGTTGGGAAGAGATGAGAAATATACAAACACAGGAAAATAAAAGTAACTTAAAGCAGTCAATTCCATTATCTTAGTCTGGGAAGTTATCTAACTCTTAGCAACGGGCTACCTTTACCTTTAAATCAGAATCCATGGAAACAGCTTTCCCTGTTTTGAAGCATTAGGAATAGCTGTCAGTTGCTGTTTCCAATTCTGAAGACCAGACGGTGGGGGGTTGGGGACTGCTTTTCTGTTCTTCTCAAAGGAACAATGTATTTGAGAGACACTGTTTAAGTGGTTTACTTAGCAAAGCAAGCACTCCAAAGAGAGATTAGAGTGGGCTGTCCCAAAGCAGCTAACAGCACAGTGGGTTCTATGCCATGTACTGTTTTAAAGGTTTTATGAATATTTATGAGGTGTATGGGACGTGCTTGGGATAAGGTGACCCTTTTCCCTCCCAAACTATGATAGACCAGATCTCCTTTCTGGGGATTTTTTTCCCTTCTGATTCTCTAGAAAGGTTCACAAAGATGAAGGAAGTGTTGCACCAGAAGTACAAAAGCCAAGGTCTTTTGAGGACACATAGACATTGTTAGTACACATGTGGGGTGATTCTCAGTCACAGACAGCTTAACATCCACATTGAGGTCATGTCCCCACAAAGGGTATTCTGACCATCATACACAGCTACCTGGACACAGATGTGCTTCTCTTGGTTATTTCATGACTAACTCCTTTTTGAGATAGCTCAAGATTGTTTTGATTAAGATCATGACTCTGTCAGTTAAGACATTTTGTTATCCATATTATTTCTCTTTAAACAGGTTTTATGTTGGAGGCTGACCCTAGTGTTTTACTGTAGACTAGTAGGCTACTCAGGAACAAAAGGCATGGGTTGTCTGTGAGACCCCTTCTGCCAGCACTGCCTCTCACGTCCATTTTCTGCCTCGAAGACCCACATTTCTCATTGCTGTTGGTCTCATCATGCTGATGTACTATCAGAGGAAGGATAGCATGTAAGACAGTCACAAGATGTAGTCCTAAGGAAGAGAGTATACTATGAAACTGGACTATAAGGTCCTGAGGGCAATGGCCTTGTTTCTTTTATAACTTTGTCAGTATCAAACACTGTATTTACAGAAATGCAGCACTTAAATATTTGCTCATCTAAAATTTCTTAATTGTAGAAAAAAATCTGTACTCTCTTCATTGGTTTGGGAAACAGAATATGGCTAAATATGTGAATCCTAGAGACAGACTGCCTCCATGTGAATCTGACTTAGCCAAATACAGTACTTTCACAGATGACCTGAATGTTCTATGCCTTAGTTTCCTGGGTTATTGACTAGGACATTCAGAGTACCTATCTTACTGAATGCTTATACAGACTAGGTATATTAATGTATGCAAAACATTTAGAAGAGTGTCTGGCATGGATAACATGCATACTTGATTAGTGTCAGCTATTAGCAGCAGTATTCAGGAGAGGTCCTTTAGCCATTGGTAAGAAATATCCAAAACAAATGCTAATGTCACGACAATAACTGGTCCCTGCTAAGTGACTCTAATACATTAGAATGGTTATTATAGGGGTCATAAGTTCTTGGGTGGACTTTTCCTTGTCCAGACCTATGTTTATGTAGCTTTTAATCCCCTTGCTGCCTCTTTATGCATGAACAAATCTGGGTTTTCTTCACAAATAAGCAGGTTTCCTATGTTGGACTTTGTAGTCCTGTGAATTCTTGTGGTTGAGTTGTCAGTGGATATCTTCTTTGGCCTCAACTAGTCTTGAGTGTAGATGAACCTTTTCTTTCCTTCCTGTCCCATCACCAGTGGGGCTGTGTGTGCTCTTCAGCCTTACAGACCACCATACTTCGCTCAAGCTGATCCTGATGGTTTGTCCATTGTTCCCTTGGAGCTTTGCTTCCTTTCATCCTTCACAATCCAGCTTAAACCCCATTTTAACTTAAATAAGGCAAAGTTGCCTTGTTACATCTCCACCTAGCCAGCCAGTTGTCATTTTAGTATGTAGGTGCCAGTGCCTTTGCGAGGCCACTGTGTGAATGACCCCCTGACTGATTTGAGCAGGCATCCTCACTCTGGTTTTATTTCCACAGTACATTCCTCCAGATCTCTGTGTCTGCAATTTCGTGCTGGAACAGTCCTTATCTGTCAGAGCACTACAGGAAATGCTTGCGAACACCATTGAAAATGGCGGAGAAGGGGTGAGTACTGAATCGTGTGGCTGGGGTTGCACTAGATACCCCACAGCCACAAAGAATATTTAGCATTTCATCCTTCCAGTTTAGGACTGGAAAACCTCCATGTAGAGATAGGAAACATTTCTTCCAAGTTTAGATACCTCTTACTCAGCGACTCTAATTCTTTCTCCTTTGAAATGACCAGCTTCCCTCGGAAAATAGATGAGAATGCCCTAAAGCTGGCTAGGTTCCCTTCCCCCTTACCCCCAAACCTACCAGGGAACATAGAGAGACCAAGAGCACCTTGAGACTAAAAATGCCTGTGATGATTTTTCCATGGAGAATCTCACTGAGATTTTATAACTCTGGGAAGAACACAACCTGCTTACAACAGTTGAGAGAATTCTCCTGTAGAACTCAGGCTGAATTCATTGATGATGAGCAAATCCAGGGCTGCCTTAAGACTCTGTTGTTACAACTGTCAAAACTTAGTGCTTTGCTATCTTCCAGAAGATTTTTCAGTCAGGGAGTGATTGCCCTGGTATTTTAGAATAATTTTTAATTCTCCTATCCCCTAATAACCTACTCATTAATATCTGTTTATCATCAAATACTATAATTGTAGTGCCTGGATATTCAAATTCAATATTTCTACCCCACCCTCATTCCCCATGCTCCACCTGATGATTCTCTGTCTTCTGGGATGCTGCAAGAGCTTACTGACTGTCTTCATTCCATTTGTACTGACTGCCTCCTCCTGGTCTTCCCCTCAGTAGTCATGAATTACTTTCTAAAATGTATGCCCAACTAATCATATTCCCTTGCCTTAAATCCCTTCATTTCCCCAGTACTTTGAGATGAATTCCAAACACCCCACCACAACTGAAAGCCCTGTTCCTCTTCCTGCCTCATCTGTCACTACATCCCACCCAACACTCAGCGTCCCAGACACTAAACTCCTCCCACCACTTCCACCATGCCAGTCCTCTTTGCCTCTGATGCTACCTAGCAGCTATTTCCTCAGTGTGTAACAGCATTCCTCCTCCTCCCTCTTCCCTTGTGTAATCCCTCCTCATCCTTCAAGGAACCAGTTTAACTATTAGACCAGCCCGTACGCCTCCACTGCACCTACAAGTGTGTTGCATGGCAAACACAAAACTTTTCTATGGCTGTTCTCTTCACTCTAAACTCTCGTTATAAGTACTAATTTATTTCTCCTGTCCCAGAGAACTGCTCGGAGGGAGGAGCAGTTTGAGGTTATGAAGAAGCATAGTTTATTCTAATTTGGCATTGATAAAGTCATTCTTAATACATGTTGAAGAAATAGTGACCGTAGACATTATTCAATTCATGTTTACATTTTGGTCATTTTTCAGCCCTTAATGTGATCTTAGGTAAGAACGCTAAATACTTAGAGGCTGAATGTTCTTACCTATACATTTAGAGTGCCTCCATCTCCAGGATCATAAATGCCAAAGATTTGTGGTAATTCAATTTTCTGATTAGATTAATCTGGCTTAGTTAATAACATGACAATAACTCTTCTCTGTTTCTCAGAGCATTGACATGAATAAGATCCTTTTTTCACCCTTGACTTCACTTTCTCCTCCTTGCATTGACCTCAGCACTCCATGTCTCCGTGCACCCTACCAAGCATTGCCAGTTTGCTGAAACAGCAATAAAATATATGCTTATTCTTTTTCCAAGATTCATCATATCCAGATATCTTTGATGAGAAACCTGGTTTTAAGTATTGCCATTATTGCTGTCAAATAAGACCTGCCCTGCGCAATCCTGACCACTCAATAGACCCAGAACAGATAAAGAAAGTTGAGTTGAGAGAGATGCCCAGAGTGATTCCTTTGCTATTGTCTTATTCTGTTGTGTTCAAAGGGATCCTTGATATTTATCCCTTAGCTTCAGTCACTCAGAGAGTCATATAAATATGAAAGTAAACTTCTTTGTTGCAAAGAAGTTGATCCATGGTCTTAACTTTGTCTTAACTAAGTACCAGTAACAAATAAAATAAAAGACCAATTTAAAGAAATTGAAACCTTAGTTCTAGAATATATTCAACAGGGTCTCTTTAATTGCCAGCTATGCTGTAGCAAAAGTTTATTCAACATAGTTGTATTTTTAACCTTCATCTATTCCTTATAATATTTAGATAGCTATATGTTGAATCTCATTGAAGGATTCTACTCTTTTGAAAATTCATTCAAAACAAATGATCCATGACATTTTATTATTAATCATTAATTATATTGGATAATATCGCAATACTGATTTTGTCTCCAAAATTTATCATATTGCCTTTTTGTGATATTTTATCAAATATAAATAAGATCCAATAGCTATTGTTGTTACTATTATTACTATTCTGCACTGGAAATCTTAGAGATAGAAGGAGAAGAATTTTTAAAAGACTGAACACAGGTGGGGACAGTATTCTCAGGATTATTATAGTTTTAGCATCCATTTGATGACTCTACAAAACAGTTACCTGGATAACAGCTTCAGGCACTAGAACCTACTTGCAATCCTCTCACACTTCCATCTGGACGCTTCATCTTTAAGTGTGAGAAATGCTATTTTTATATAATCTCTCGAGTCTGTGCACATTTACTATTAGCTGTTAATTTGATAATACTCTGCAGGAAAGAAAAAGACGTTTGAAAACTAAAGGAAAAATAAAGAAGGAAGTGAGCTAACACGACAGAGCATAATGAGACTCGGGGGAGCCTGGGGATGTGGGAGCAGGATGCTGGCTCCTTTTGATGACATGCCATTCTGTTTAGAAATGGCCATTTACTGCTTTTAAATAAGTATTACTTTCAGTAATGATCACGACTGCCACCAAACAGAATGCCTTGAAGAGTGTAATTTTTTTCCCTTCTAGTCAAAAATTGGTCTTGTGTACTGCACCTGTTCACTGCTGTGTAGCAACTGGGCATTTTAAAAAATGATTGTGGTTGTTTGCTCTTTAGCGTGATGAGTGTACAGAAGCTTTGTGCAAGGATTTACCATTCTGCAGCAATTTCTCTTGCTAACAAAAGTACCTACTCAAATTTAACAGTGGAGACTTATTACTGAAATATCCTTAACTGCAGTGAGTAGTGTTTGAGAGCCAGCTATATGTTGGAAGGGACAATTAATTAAGAGGACCTCTAGGCAGAGAGGTCCAGTACCTTTCAGAGCATGTCCAAGCTAATCTCACCTCTAGATCATCTCCTTCCAATCTAATCCTATCTAATGTTTTTTGGGGGAGATTACAATAGGCATTTGGCATAAGGCCAACTCTAAGGTAGATGTTTGAAGTAAAATGCTTGCATGCAAATATTAAAGTATTTTCAAATATTTTTGTTGACCTCTAGTTTATAGAATATTCATGACCATTTAGCTTGATGTGGAGCCAAGAACAGGGTCCATTTCCTTCAAAGTCCCAATCCCTTCACCTTCCAAAGATAACTATAGTAAAGCTGCACACCTAAGAATCACACAGACATCTTTTTTAGCCTGGCTATCCTGACCAGGTGGTCTCTAGAATAAATTGTCTTTTCTCTGCCTGAACTCACACCTCCACAAAGTGCATCCTTCCACACAGAGTGATAATTGAAGAAGATTGTTGATCACAACTGCTTCTCAGAATGGATGGCAGGACAGCTCCTGCCTTCATCTCTCCACTTCCTCCTATTATGGATTTTTTGTTTGTTTTGTTTAGGAAAATTCACATTGCAACAAAGGAAAGCGTTCCCTTATGAAATGTCCAGCTACATATCCAATCTAGTGCTTCCCAACTCCAAATGGGTTCTGACATTAAATGGCACGATGCCTCTAGAAATGAAAGCACTTGTTTAACACATTTACCAACTGTACTTTTTCTGATAAGGGTTCTGATTTCATACATTAAATATGTATGTGTTTAGCACATTTGTACACACATACACACACTTATGTGTAAGTAATGCTATGGTTGCATTGTGGATGTTCATTTTATCCATAACCTGGAACCTTAAAATTATGTTTGACTTTGTAAGCTTAAGCATCTCATATGCTAATATATTCAGCCTTCTACCGTTGATAGGAAATGTGACCTGGAAAGATATTATCTCTGCAAGAGCCTTCATCATAAATATCCTCAAAGGGGTGTTTTTCTATTTCTGTGTGTTATGTACACAATAGCCATTAACTTTTCTAAAAGGAGCTTCAGGTATCTTTCATTTGTCCTTGTCCTTAGAGTGGGAAATACTACACACAGAACATGTGCAAGAGAAATTCTCATATGTGATGTGGCATGCAATGACCCCTCTTGAAGATAGCATGTCTATGCCTATTGAAAAACTAGGGGCTGTTATCAGGGATCATGTGATCTTGTAAACAGCCCATGAGGCATAGACTTAGATTATGCTATTCATATAAAAGACCTTAAAGCAGGATACTTTGCTATAGTTTTTTTTTTCCTTAAAGCAAATTTCAGGACACTCAGCTATCACATAAATTTACAGAAAATTACATAAAAAGAAAGAATCATCTGATGCTTCCAGATAGCAAATAACAAATCACATAGTTGTTAATCTGAGTTTCCAGAAGGCTTCCTTTAATGGCAGAACCCTTGCTGTTCCCAGATTTAGGAGCTACTTGTGAACTTCTCTAGATGAAGAAGGCTAAATGAATATTTTCCACCTTCTTCCTGGGTCCCTGGATATCCACAGACATCTATTTATTACAGAAGCAAAGGAGGCACCCCCACCCCATCACCTAATTTTAGCCTCTGAGTATGAGGTATTTGTATTCCCCTTCTAATTGTCAAAGGAAAAATTCAGATTTGAGAATGCATTTGATTAGGAAGAGAACAAGACCTGTGGAGGAAATGGGCGCCTAATTGTGGATCAGCTTGATACCCATTTACAATGTTAAAAATATTACACCTTTTAAAAAGAGAAATAAGTTGCTTAATGGCTCTCCTCCAACAGTAGGTAATTCATTATGCCTTTGGAATATTTTATTAGGTTTTCTTTTTAGAA